GAGAAACTATGTCCCTTGTGCCTGCCCTGCTTACTGCCAGAGGATGCCCTGCCTTACAGGGACCGAGAACATTCAGTGACCATGCCTGTGTCCAGACAAACTTAATCTTGTTCATTTGGTCCATAGTTACTGGACACAAAGAGGCTTTATCATAGTCCCTCCTCTTGATGTGCTTTGAATTTCATGGGAGAGACAGGAGTAAACAAGGAAGAAAAATTCAAGGAGTGATCACATGAGTGCTGTGAAAAGAGGCTGCAGTGTAGGGGAGTGAGAACATCCAGGAAGTGGGCTCAGGTTGGGGTGGAGGACTGGGCAAGGCTCCTTGGGGAGGTAAAAATGGAGAAGGATTCTACCTGACAGAAGAAACATCAGAGGGCCAGGGGCAAGCACTGGAGTCCACCTCGGCTTTCCCCAGCTTTTCACCCATGGGCCTGCCAATGACCTGGGCTCTGTGCCAGCCAGTTCTGCCTGGACTGATACAGAGAGTGCAGTGCCAGTCTGAGTCTGAGTCCAAACTGTTGAGGGTTCTAAAAATTCACCTTGTCAATTTATTCATTTCTTCATTTGCTTACACCACAAACACTTATTGCATGCCTGCTCTGTGCTAGGTATTACTACAAGTTTTGGGGGATATAGTGACAAACAAGCAAAGTCCTTGCCCTTCCAGTGGGGAAAATGGACAATAAACAAGTGACAAATAAAATAAATTCACACTAAAGAAATAGAAAATAAAGGTTAGGGGATAAGGGTGATGAAGGTGGGAGAGGGGGAGGGGGTATCTAATCAGTAAAAATCAATATCTGATTTAACACCTAAATGATGTGAAGAGGCAAACCATTAAAATCTGGGGAAGAACATTCTAGGCAGCATACATGGAAAGTGCAAAGGCCCTGAGGCAAGAACTAATTTGGCATATTTAAGGATTAGCATGAAGGCCAGCAAGGTGGAAAAGGAGTCGGTGGTGGGGCAGTGGTAGGGGATGAGAGCAGAGAGGTGGCAGAAAGCCAGGCCTGGTCATGACGCTGGCTCCTGGGTTCCAGGAAATTACAGGATGTCTTGCATCACAGCCAGGTTCTTGCCTTGAGTTAAAGGTTTCAGGACTAGATCCAGGCCCTGCACACTAATATGCTTGACTGGGCCACACCCTCAACCAGAAGTACCCACTGGATCAGATGAGGACAATGGACAAGTCACACCTGGTGTGCCATTCTCACAGAAGACTAGATCCTCCAGCTTCTTTGGTTTCACCCATTTCTATGCTCTCTTCCGCCTGTTCCTCCAGGGAGTAGAGTTGGAGTCCCAGCATAACATGAAATCAGGTCACAGAAAGTGTGCTATTCAGGAGTGAGCACGAGTAGGATGTGGGCTGGAGCAGTGCCTGGAGGGGCCTTGTGGAAAATGATGCCAGAGAATTGAGAGCCGGGCTAGGAGTAGTGTAGGAGGTGCAGAAGCACTAAAATGCTTGAGGAAGGGAGAAGGAAATAGTGAAACGTTTGAGGAATTTAATTTTAGTAGCATTTTGGACATGGATCAGAAGACAGGAAAGGAGACCAGGCAGAGAGATAATAAGACTCTCAACTAGGGCAAGAGGCATAGGCTGGTTTCAAGAGACAAAGCACATAGACCCATTGGACCAACTTCTATAGGGGGTAGTAATTGCGAGAAAGAAGTAAAAGATAATGGCTATTCCTACCAGGCAAGTGAGCAGACAGCATTATTCACTGAGAAACAGGAGGTGGAAGTGTGAGGGAATATGGCCAAAGTTATGGTGGGGAGTAGGGGACAAGAGACACATGGGCCAGTTTTGGATGCTTTGAATAGAAGATGAATCTAGGCCATGAAAGAAAAGATGTCCAGGCCAGGAAGGTCTGGTGCTCAGGAGGGAGGTCTAGGTGGGAGGAACATCAGCATTTAGGCAGCAGTTGGCACTGTGAGTGCTGGGGTACAGTGTACAAAATAAGAAAAGGAGGTGGGGAAATAATTCTGGGGACCACTAACATTTGCAGGATTTGGGAGGAGGAGAGGACATAGTGAAAGGAGACTGGGCCAGGGCATGCAGGCTCATGGACACCCAATGGAGGAGGAAATTTCAAGGAGGGGATGGTTCTCAGTGTCAAATACTACAGAAGGGTCAGGGAAGACAGAGATTGAAGAGAAGCCACTGGATTTGACACTGGGAATAGCAGGAAGAGATAGTGGGAAGGACAGATTTGGTGCAGCTAGGCTGCAAGAGTAGGAAAAGACTACCAGGATGGGGAAGTTTAAGCAGTGAGTACCGACAGCTTTTTGAGGAAGTCTGGGAGAGAATAAAATAAGATGAAATATAGCTTAGGAGTGGTGCGGGGTGGGGTGAGGAAAAGGGACTCCAGTTTGAGAACAAGGAAGATGAAACATTTTGCTGACTTATGCAAGGGAACAGGAGTGGGAGAGGTGTCTCATGGACCTCTCACTTCTTTCTTCTTCTCCCCCTGCTCAAATCTCAGGCTTCCTGGGACTTTGCAGGCATCTCTTCCCCAGTGGTTGTCCAGTTTCCATCTGTTCTTGCTCGGGAAGGCAGTGTTCACCACTGTGTGGCAGGCAGGCAGCCTAGTCCCTCATGGGACTGGCTCAACTGTTAGAAAGCTTTCCTTGGAGATCTGACACAGATGTGGCATAGAGTTGGGATTTCAATGGGGCTAGGCATTCTATGTTTGTAGATCTTATAATAAATTTAAAAAATTCTTCCTGCTATTGTGCCCAAATGCATCCCCATGTAGGTTTTTACCCTCTGATTCTAGTTCTACTCTTGAGGCTTCTTCTGACAAAAACAGCCCTTCAGATGGCAGAAGGAAGTGGTGCCCACTTTGTCCTCCTATCATGGGCTTGAACATCCCCTGCTCTTCTGATGGTCCTCCAAGATTTCTCCTGAACACAATGCACCCTCACTATTCTTTGAAATAGATACACTACTAGAGAAATAGACATCTATTCCTCTCATACTAGCAGAAGCTAGTGGTTGAGAGCCAGCCTAGGTTTGTATCCTAGCTCCACTTCTTCCTAGCTGGCATCCTTGGGTAAGTCACTTACCTCCACTCTGCAGTAGAGTCCTGACCTATCTCACCTAGCTGTGAGGAACGTGTGAGTTAGAACATGTGGAGTGCTTTGAACAGTGTCCAGGGGAGAGTGGGTGCTCAATGCAGGTTCACTCCTCTCAGATATCAAAGCTCCTTTTGGAAGGGACTGTGAAACACAAGAGTCTTCCCTAAATCAATGTGGGCATATCACATGAAGATGCTTTGATTTCCCAAGATGAACATGGTTAGGGCCCAATCCTGAATCACAGAATGTTGGTCTGAGAAAAACAAGACACCTGAAGCATCCCAAGGGTGTTTTGAAAGTTTAGAGTCAAGAATCCAATCTGGGGATGGAGAATGGAAAGTAGCTACAGCAAAGCCATCTGGAAAGTGCTTCTCTCTTAAAAGCTGTCACTCCCGTAGGCAAATGAACTGGATTTTCCGTTAACAACTGTCATCTTAGGCCTGATCTCAGGCCTCTGTCCTGCTTGGCACTCCCCCTAGCTAGGTTTCTGCTCATCCAAGGATCAGTCTTTCCTGTTGTGTAGGGATTTTCTGACCCCTGCCGTCCACTGTCTGTCATGGCACGAATTTAAAGATGGTTACTGACTCAGGGGGCCCTGTAAATGGGAAACCTCAGACATATACTTTTTCCAACTTTTTTGACAGTGACTCCTAGTGTTAATATATTTCACACTGTGACTATACACAAAGGTTTCACAAAGCAACTCCTACCTTTACTATGTGCGTAAACTCTAAAATAGTCTATATTTTTCTACCTTATTTTGTTAATAAAAAAATTCTGATTGCAATCCACTGAATTGATGTCACAGCCCCAGGTTTTTTTTCTGGAGTTCACAAAACATTAATTTAATTTACTAAATTAGTACTCTAGTTTCCCGAACTTCATTCAGTGTATATCATATCACTTTCAAACATTTGGTCACATTAAAGGCCAATTTTTAATTTTTATTTAAATCAATTCACTAAAACATTTTTAAACGCCCACTATAGCCTAAGTAAAATATTGGTGAAATTATAAATTTGAGGACTAGCTGTATATTTTCCCAATACATACTGAATAAATATTTAACTATCAAAATAAAAAATATTTCCATACCTCCTAAAATCATCTTGCACAACAGCAGTGTCTGCATTCCTCACTTTAGGAATCACAGATCTAGAGATTAGTTCAAACATTTCATTTTACAGTAGGGGCAGTGAGGTCTAGAGATATGAATTAACTTATCTGAGGTCTAATTTCTCAGTCAATGGGAAAAAATGTGTTGTCTGGTCACAGGAGGGAAAAAGGGAAACAAAGGAGATTTACATCAAGGCTGCCCATGGCCAAATGCTATGCTAAGTCTATCAGTCTTACCACTGCTGGAGGGAAGCCCAACCCCAAAATCTCGCCATAGCCCAGAGATCAGTTTATAGTTATTTTGGCAGAGCCATTTTAAGACTTTCGTAGGCCTTAGACAGCGTTATTTTTGGAGATCCTGATCCATATCATATCATGAATATCACAATTTGTCCATGTTGGCACTGACTAATTTCAATTTTGTTTTTTCTTTTTGCATTTTGAAGCCAATGAATTTTATAAGCTTCAACCATTTTTGCAGGCCCTTAAAAAAAGCTCACAGGCCCTACATTTATAGCTTGTTGTCCCTAATGGCTGAAGTGGCTCTGGATCTGGTAAAAGAATCTGATCAATGAAGACACACTAAAGTGCAATTTTATTACTTAAACCCTCTCTCCTGGGGGAATGTTTTCAGGCCACTGACAACTAAATGCATGAGTTTCCAGTGGTGAAATCTTTGTTATTTTGGTAGACTGGTGAGAGCAGTGCCATTTCAGGTGAGTTAAAAGCCACGTGACTGACAAGCTGTTAACAGTCTGAGCCTCAGTTTCCTCATTAAATAAAACAAAGGGATTAGACTAGATTGATGAATTTCAAAGATTTTATTTTAGCTTTGAGTCCCTTTTCCAAATGAAATCTCATTATCAGACAAAAAGGAGACCTGGCTCTAAGATGGACAAAACTCTGATCAGCCCTCTGAATCTAACAGATATGAAATTTATGATGTGAAGACATCCAGGAGAATCTCCCCTACATGTTTGCAAAGATAGAGAGGTTTCATGTAGACAAGGGGAGGTTTCAAGACCTCTGAAATTCCCCAAGCCTTGATCAGATCTCAGCTCTAAAATACAGTACATTTTTCAAAACTCTTTGACAGTGGTTCACAATAAAAAAATAAAGTTTACATCAAGCTAGAGTATGTATGTACTGAAATAAAAGTATGTTCCTAAAACATACTTTTATACTGTAGAAGAAAATATTGTCCCATACTTGGTCTGGGTCAGGGACATTTAGGGAATATAATCCACAAACTTGTCCTTGAGAATTAACTATATTTCTGATAAAATGCTTGAGCAATTTTCTGATAAATTTTGATGAGATAAGACCTCTGTGAAACCAGTTATCTATGAACTCAGCTAATATCAACTTTGGGAGGGGCCCAACAGCCTTTAGCTATCTTTCAATAAATCTAATAATCCTTAACCAGAACTTTTCCCCCTCATATCCAGTCTAACAATGGTTATCTAACCATTCTCTTTTCCTCTTCATTGTCCTTACCAACAGATACTTGTTGAATTGTCCAGGTAGAAGCCCATTCCCTTGCCATGAGATTGTAATATAAACTTTAACACTGAGTTATATTAAATTGCCTGAAGCTTTTTCTGTCCTCTCCATTCATTCCTTGATGGTGTGATGCACTCTGATATTTTCTGTTCCATTCTATTTCATTTTTAAAAATGCTGATTGAGACCCAGTAAATTTATTTGTCTTTAATGGTTTTGACTGGAAGCTTAAAAACCATCAAAATAGCACTCCTGGCGTATTAGTCTATTAAGATGGAAACACACTGCTACCATCATAAAATAAAACCAGTGAAAAAAGTCAGGTCAAAGAGTGCTTACTTTCCCTGAGTATCTGGAACATGGCAGGAGTTGAATAACTGTCTTTTGAAACCTAAAAAGTAATTAAAATTTAAAAAAGGGAGCACGTTACAAACTTTGAGAATATGCTTGCAATGCAAATGAGAATTTGTATTTAGAACATTTAAAGGACTCATAAACATCAAGAAGAAAATGACAAAAGAAAAATGAGCAAAGGATACAAACAGGTAATCTCAGAAAAGGAAGATAATAAGCAAATAGAAAGATGTTCTACCTCACTTATAGACAGTAAAAGAAAGAGAATGGAATTATTAAAACTGAGAAACTTAGAGGAGGAACCCCTTAGAGCTGAAACTCACACCTCTGAGAAAGGGTATTAGTGAGCTGGCACTGGTGTTCTGAAGTAGGGTACAATAAAGCTGGTTCTTCAAATATCAGAAAATTGCCAAGTGGATGCAGCTCCTGCTAAGAGAAGGCCCTACTGCAACCGGGGTGAAGTGTGCTGGTGGGATGCTCACATGAACCATGAGCAGGAAGCCTACAGAAAGTAGACATGAAGAAGTACCTCCCTCCTCCTCCAGCCCAGAAGGTTCCCTCTAGTACCCCTTATTGGCAGAGTGCAGCATGGGGCCAGGTAGCAAAGCAGAAATGTGGTTTGTGAAGTTACAGCCTCAGCCACAAAGTGGAATGTAGAAGAAGAATTTGGAGTCAAGGGACAAAAACATAACTGCTACAGCCCATAATATTGGCTAACAAACTTCCATACCAAAAGAAAAAAATGTCGTTTCTAACATAACACAACTATTCTTCACAGAGAGAAAGATGCTATTACAATCTCCTCAAAAACAAGGACACAAGTATCCCTTTCTGGGAGACAGTTATTACACTATCCATCTCTGGGCTATGGTAATTCCACACATTCAGACACATGCCCATCTGAATATTCAGTTATCCAAAGACTAAATTGTAAAATTAATGTCCAGTGAAACATTAATTAATGAGGCAGCTTCCTGCCAAGGTGAAGTAACAGGAATCAAATTTGCCATCCTGTCTGAGATAACTTAAAAAAAAAAAAAAAAAGATGAAGGTGAACCCTACAATTGCCCTAGCTTAATGCCTGAAGGAAGCTTTGAGTCTGCAGCGTAGGAAGGAGGAATCCTGTCAGAACTTGGCAGTTTCCCTGAGCTGAGAAAACAGAGCTAGGAGTCTGGAGAGTTCAAGGCAGCTAGAATTTGCAGGGTGAAGTGTTAAAAATGAGAAACCTGCATAGAGAGAGAACTAGAGATGAGCAAAGTTCCCCTTGAATATTCAGCTGAGTACTGATTATCATGTGCATGTGAGGGCAGGAAAAGAAACACCTGAAAGGAGAGCGAACACTCCTAAAGCTCACATAATGCTGAGAATCATGCTTGTTCCTACCAGTTGGGATGGAAAACCTCATAATTCAGGGAGTATCAGAGTACTCAGGAGGGTTTTGCCTCAGTAGTGGGAAAAAATTAACCTTTAATTTAACACTACTCTGGACTCTCTGAACAAAGTTTAAAAGCAAGTCTTGAAAAGGATAAAATTATTTCCAAATAATTTAAGTGTGTCCTAGAACAAAGCTCAAGAATGTTTATAAGAATACGAAAATAGCCAACACACAACAAGATAAAATCACAATGTCTGCCATGCCAACAAAAATTACCAGGCATGCAAAGCAGCAGGAAAATACAGCCCATAATGAGGAAAAACATCAATTAATGGAAACTAACACAGAAATAACAGATGACAGAATTAGTAGATAAAAATTAAAATAGTTATCATAACTACATTGCATGTATTCAAGAAACTAGAGGAAAAGTTGAACATGTCAGAAAGATATTAAAAAAATATATGGAAGAATTTCTTTATATATGGAAGATATGAAAAAGACCCAAATAGACCCAAATGAGAGACAACTGAGATAAAAACCAAACCAAACCAAACCAAACCAAAAACAAAAACACTGGATGGTATTTATGACAGATTAAATACTGCAGATGAGAGATTAGTGAATTTGAAGACATAGCAATAGAGACATTGGGTGGCAGTGAAATATAGAGGGGAAGTAAAAAAAAGAAAGAAAGAAAAGAAAGAAAAAGAACAGGATCAGTGAACTGAGGGACAGCATCAAGTGGCCTAATATACTTTTAATTGCACTCCATGAGGATAGTGTGGCAGAAAAATTATTTCATGAAATAAGAAACAATTTCCAAACTTGATGAAAACTATAAAACTACAGATCCAAAAAACACAATGAACCTCAAGAAATATATGCTTTTATGCTACATAAAAGCACATCATAATCCAATTGCTAAAACTAATGATAAAGAGACATATTGAAAGAAGTCATAGAGAAGCCCTTGTACAGAGGAACAAAGATTAGGATAGAGTAAGATTTCTCCTTGGAAATAATGCAAGTCAGAATGCAAGTGAAATAACACTTTTAAAGTACTGAAAGAAAAAGAAAATAAGAATTCTTTACCCAGAAAAAAGATATGTATCAAAAATGAGGGCAAAATCAAGACTTTACTGGACATATAAAAATTGAAAGACTTCATCATCAGCAAACCTCTGTTAGAAGAAATGATTAAAGAAGTCTTTTAAGTAGAAGGAAAATGCTACCAGATGGAAAGCTGATCTACGCAAAGAAATGAAGAGCACCAAAATGCTAACTATGTGAATAAATACAAATAACTTTTAAAGTAATTATTTATATTTCTTAAAAAACTAATTAACTGTTTAAAACAAATATACTAACAGTGTACTGTGGGGTTTATAACACGTGTACAAGTAAAACGTATGACAATGATAGCAAAAAGGCCATGAAAAATGAAAGTATACTCTTGTAAGGTTCTTACACTATGTATCGAGTAGTACATCATCATGCAAAGGTAGAATATGATAAATTAAAAATGGATTCTATAAACCCAAATGAAACTAAAATAAAACAGAAAGAGTAAATAAGCTAACAAAGGAGATGAAATGGAGTAATTAAAAATATTAAATACAAAAGAAAAAAGAAAAAAAGAGGAATAATAACCAGAGAGTACAAATAGAAAACAGCTAGATGGTAGATTTAAATCCACCATAACAATAATTACAGGAAATATAAATGGTCAAAACATTCTCATGTTAGCAGAAATTATTAGGATTAAAAAAAACCAAGGTCCAACTATATAATAAAACAAATCCATTTAAGTATAAAGACACCAATAGGTTGAAAGTAAAAGGGTGGAAAAAGGCACACCATCCTAACCATAATCAAAAGAAAGCTGGAGCAGCTATACTAATATCAAATAAAATAGATTTCAGAGCAAAGAATATTAGTGGGGCTACAGGAGGTAATTTCATAATGATAAAGGGGCTAATTTATCAAGCAGACACGATGATGCTAAATGTTTATGCACCTAATAACAGAGCTTCAGAACAGTAATGAGATGTTTTTGGAGCCTTACAGGAGAGTGCTCTGTAGAACTGCACATAAATGTTACTTTCTTCCTTTTCTATTTTTAGTATTATCTACTATGCTTACTGTAAATTAATTAAACTTAAGGACACTATACCTACCTTTATTTGGCTATCAAAAGAAACCATCCTAGGAGGCAGTAAATAGTGGTTGCAAGAACCGCTGCTCTTGGCAAGTTACTTTTGGCTTCTATGGACTTCAGTTTTTCTATCTGTACCATGAAGATCAACTGTTTTGGGAAAAAAAAAAAGTTTTTAAACAGTAAATTCTTTCTCCAGCTTAATAGTATATGGAACTCATATAAGCATGTGGAAGCCCGTATAGGCTGGGTCAAGTACCAGGGCTTGCACTAGCCATACTGGGATTGGGGTAACAGCAAGGATGGAGGACTAGGAGTTCTGGGAGATCTAAACAAAAACTTGTGCCAAATACCTCATTGGTTGAACTATTAATTCTCCCTGTGGCTTGTATGATCTGGGTATTCTATTAATTACATTCTTTCATTTCAAGTATTTTTAATACAACATACAGTAAATAAATATGCTGAATTTTGTAAGCTGGCCTCAGCTTATATGTAAATGAATGGACTAGAGGAAAATGACAGGTGCTGACTTCTACTTATTTAATTTTTTAAACTAACCTGGTTGGCAACAACTGAAGGCAAGTAACAGTTATTTCCTAACTTAAAAAATCCAAGAGATAAGTAGATTGAGCCATTAAAGGCTTTCTTGGTTGGTAATGGAGGGACGACACTGCTCTTTGCTCTTTACTGTACACGTGTACTTAGCATTATATACCATGTCACAGATAAAACAGCACTCGTGCTCCTTTGGAGCTTCCACGAGTGGACAATGTGGGGAGGATGCTGCCACACGGTATGAGTAGCAGACATTTATAATATGCAGCAAATACATTAAAAATTATGACAGATACAAGCTTCTTTAATATATAGGATCATTTTAAAGCTGTGGAATCTGACATGTAAAACAGTATGTATAGCAAATATCTTGTCACATATTTTTCTTCATGTCACTTGTCTTTTTTGACACTTTCTTGCTCTGTGTGGATTTCAGCTTTGAAACATGGATAAACAAAATTAGGAGGAAGAAACATAAGTAAAACTCTTCTTATGAAACAAGGATGACAAAAAGAAAGAAGCTATCAGAATCTTGTATCCTTCCAAGAGAATAAATCATCTAGAAACCAAGTGTTTGACTTTTTCACAGTACCAGTCTTACGAGTAATACTAAGAAAGGGGATAGAAGCAATTAATGCAGAAAAGTCTGGAAGGATATACTCCAAGTTGATAACATTATTTCCAAAGGATGGGAATGGAAAAGAATGATGACAAATTATTAAATTGTTCTTTACACATCTCTGAATTATTTCATTTGTTACATTAAACAAATATCACTTTTGTAATAACAACAACAAGGAACTCTGTTAAAGAAAGCAACTATTCTGATCGTTGAAAAAACACTGATTAAGAGAGTGTTTTTATGTAATGCACATAGTCTGTCATGTTAAAAAGAATTAGTAAGCTCACCAAAGCCTAAAATTCCAGTCTAATTATAAGTTTATAGCAGAAATTGTATGAGGTAGAAGCATGAGCATAGCCTCTGGGGTTTCACAATATTCCCCTGGCCTGAGCTCCTATTCTACTGGGCAATCCAGTGTACTCTCCTGTAATTAACTGTAGTAATGTGAGTAATGACTTAGCACAGTGCCTGAAAACAGCAAATACTCTGCTTCACAAGAAGGTCCTACAGAATCAAGGTCATTTATATCCTGCTAGATGGGACTGATTTCTTCTGGGGTAAATATCACATAAATTATTGAAAACAGAGATGTAGGGTCTCCTCAAAAAACAACATATCCCACTCCTCTGAGAGCTCCTGCCCTGATATTTGACACAGGTCACTACTGCTAAACCTCTCCCATAGCATAATTCTGCTATGATTAGTAGGGTGCTTCCTTAAATGGACCATGCTTTCGCTTTCTAAGCTGCTAGAACCTTCAGGGTTTTCAACCTTGGTACTATTGACATTTTGGACCCAGTGATTCTTTGTTGTCAGGGGCTGGGTTGGGGATAACCTGTGCATTGTTGGATGTTTAGTAGCATCCCTGGGCTCTACCCACTAGATGTCAGTAGCACCCAATCCCCACAGTTACAAAAGCATCTCCAGACATTGCCAAGTGTCCCTTGCTGGGCAAAATTGCCCCCAGTTGAGAACCACTGTTATAGATCAATTCAGTTGTTCTGCAGCCATCCCATAAGAAACTAAGGCTAGGACTACACATTAATATCCATGCACCTCTCTCTCCTCTCCCCGCAAAAAAAGCAAAAAAAATCCCTTGAACTTTTGAACCTTTGTTTTAAGACCTTCCCAGGAGCAGTGTAAAGTTATCTGTGAAAGTCAAGTTTTCTGAAACGTTTCTAACATTTTAGTGCAAACATTCTCACTTACTGGTGGCTACCAAAGGACTACAGGCAAAGAAAAAGGTATGTTAAGCCAGGCTCTGTGGGGATGAAAGGGAGGGAAGAGGTGTTCAGCCAGCTGAAGCTCCCTGAAGAACAAGATTTCAAATTCATTCATGCAGCACAAAATGAGTGAAACAGACTGGCAAACGATAGTCACTCAGTCCTGTGGCTTTAAATACCATCTATGTACTGATAACCCCACATTTTATATTTCCAATCTTTACTTCTCTTATGGTAGCCAGCTTTTTGCATTCAACTGCCACCCAATGTCTCCAATTGTACAGGCATCTCAAACTCAACATGGCCAAAACGGAACTGATTTTTCCCTCTTAAACCTGATCTCTCCCTAATATTTGGGCCACACTACCATACACCAAATTGCTCAAACCAAAACTTAGAAGTTATCCTTGATTCTTTTATTCTTCCTTCTCTCACCTCCATATCCATCAGTCATGTCAGCTCTGCCTCTGAACCTATCTCTAATCTGCCTTCTTTTCTATAGCTCTATTTTCTATAGTTGCCTCCCTAGTATGAGCCACTATCCTTTCTTACTGGACCACTGCATTAGCTTCCTAACTAGTTCTTGTTTCCTGTCTTGTCCTCTACATCAAAATTTCTCATTCTCACACTACTGACATTTGGGGCTAACTAATTCTTTGTTTGGTGGGGGAGGGAGGGGGGTGCTATCTTGTGAACTGTAAGATGTTTGGCAGTATCCCTGGTCCCCAACTACCAGAAGCCAGTATTAAATCTTCCCCCACTCTTCAAATGTGACAAATGAAACTGTCTCTAGATATTTCAAGGGGATAAAACCAGCCCCCAGTTGAGAACCACTGTCCTACATCCTACGCACAGAAACCAGGATATTTTAAAAACATAAATCGCATTATGTTACTCCCCTGCTGAAAACCCTCTAATGTCTTCCCATTGACCTTAGAATAAAACCAAAGCTCCTTACCGTGGCTTCCAAGACCTCCATGAATTGGCTCCTGCCTATTCTCTAACATCCTCTCTTCCATACCATGCTCTCCCTCATTAAGCTCCAGCCCCACTGGTCTTATTTCTGTTCCCTGAACATTCCAAGCTTGCTCCCATACAATCTTAGCACTTGCTGTTCCCTCTGCCATGCACTCTTCCCAGATCTTTGCATGGCCCACTGTTCACCCACACAAATATCAGCTCAAAGAATGCTTAGTCAGCAAAGCCGTCCCTGACCATTCTATCTAAAGAACCCCTTACGCACATTCTCTATCATGTTACCTGTTTATTTCCTTCATAATGCTAATCACAATAGAAAACTGTCTTGCCATTTATTGTCTGCCTCTTCACCAGAGTGTGAGCTCTTCAAGAGCTGGGACTCTGTCTCCCTTGTTCACTGCCATAGTCCAAGTGCCAAAATATCATCTGAGATAGAGTAGGAACTCTATAAATATTTCTCCCCTCTATCTCCTCAAGTATCAGGTCAGGTTTCCCTTCTAAGAACATTCTTGTTGATGTTATTGATCTTCATTTTTAACTACATTTGACCTATGTTAAAAAGTGTGCGGCTGGAGATACCACGTACAGGGTTAGTATAAAGAAAATAACTATTTTGAAACATAAACAAAGGTTAATTAATTAATTAAACTGTTCCTTGTTCCTCAGGTTTTTGGCAGGTATATAATTATTCTACTGTTTGCTCCCTGTCCCTAGGTTTGAAGCAGTGAAGGCTGTTCAAGGACTATGAATCTCAAACTCACCTGGCTCATAGGATCAAAAAGCCTCTTTGTCCATCAACTAAATTTGTACAGTACCATGGGCCTGAAATCTTTTTTTGCTGGCTTCAAGTCAAAATAGTTGCCTGGGTCAAAGGCAGGATGGGTCTAAGGTGTGGCATGGTCAATAAATGTTGACTGAGTTCCAAAGCCATAGCCTGGCTGTTTCTTACATTGATTTATGGGCTGTTTCCACGAAATCAAAGATGATTGGTCCACCCGGAAGCTGGATGGCTGCAAAAGAGAGGCAATTCAGTCCTGGCTGAGGGCCATGACCCTTTTGTGGCCTTTGGGAAGCATTTCATCTGGCCATTTTTACATTCTGGCGGGCTGCCGGCTTGTCTTGCCGGAGCGAGCTCTCCACGCGGTGTAGAGACGTCTCCACCCGCAGAGATGAGGCCCTGACGTGGCGGGAGGACGATTCTGTGCACTGCGAGGAGATTTCCACGTGCTTGGAGGACACCTCGAGGACGTGAGGAAGCCGCTTCCCAGAGGGGGAGAGCGAGGGCCCCTCACTGCGGCTCTGGGAGGTCTCCACCTGCCGAGAAGATGTGCGCACTTGCCGGGAGGAAGTCTCCACACGGTGGGAGGAGGTCTCCACGCGGTGGAAAGAGGTCTCCACGCGGATCGACGACTTCTCCTTGTGGCGAGCAGTCTCCACTTGGGGCGAAGCAGGCTTTCCTCGAAGGGGTGAGGCCATTCTGCGGGTGTACGGGGGCCAAAGAAGTCTCAGGAGACCCCACAGCCCAACCTTCCCCGACAGTCTTGCTTGTGGGTTACGTCACTGGGTGAGGGATGATGTTACAGAGGCGCGTTATGTCACCGCAGGCAAAAGGGTAGACACGATGACGTAAAAGCATGGGAGTCCCGTGGGGGTTACATTCTTCCTTCCAAATACTGGGCCCTGGCCCCAGGCGCTTTTGGTCCCCGGCGCCACGCCCTCGACTTTTGGAGCCAGGGCAGGCGGAGCGGGGGATGAGCCGGGACCGGCAGGGAATGGGCGGAACCTCCCGCCTCCGCGCCTGGCTGTGCCATCCCCCGTATCCCACACTGCCTCGCGACAGGAAGGCGGAGTCGCGGCTTCCGGAACCTCCTCCGCCACTCCGGCAGTTGCTGTGTTCGGCTGGTGGTGGCCTAACGTCTTTGCTGGTGATGGCCGCGGCTGTCGCTATGGAGACAGGTCAGTAGCGCTGAGAGCCGCGAGTCTTCGCAAACAGAACTGTCCGAGCCCAGACACCTCCCGCCTCCTCCGGGACTCCTTGCAGGTCTAACTCCCGGCAGGTTAGAGTTCAGATCCGGAGGCGTGAGGGCTCTCGTAGCGTCTGGAAAGGCGAGGGTAGTTTGGCCTTTTCAGAGTCTGATATGTTTGCAGGCCATTTTTCCTCACTTGCTAGTTAAACACTGACCCCACGGCCTTCCTGGCGCGAGCGAAACTGAGAGTTCAAATCGGTCTTTTCGATTTGTTTTTTGCGCCTCAAATGAACTTGTATAAGTTTAAAGTATCATCGACACCACTGTACATTTTTCTGCCACTGACGCTTCTCACATATGCACACACTCCCTGATCTTGCACACCGCCTCTTTTTCAGCTTGAATTCTAAACCTTTCCTTATTGATTTAGCATTCACGTAGTTTTTGCTTAACTTAATCACGTAACAGTTGTAAAGTATAATTAAAATAGTGAATTGCACAGTTAGTACCACTTACTCCAGTGATCACTTAAAATTTCTACATAGTGTCTCACGAGGAGTAAACATCCTGCCCCGCTGTGTGTTTCTATCTGATGACTTCTCTTTAACTTTGGAGAAACTTCTAACAATTCTTTTAATCAGAGCTTTGTTTTTATTAGCCTTCTAAGGAAGGTTTACCTCCTCCCACACTCAATTTAGGCCAACGATCACCTGCCCTTCATGTGGAAGCATATCAGCATTAGGTGTCTTTACTGCTCTTTTCTTTCTACAAATCAATATTATATACTGAACTTTATTTTGGATGATTTTTGCTGTCTTTTCTTCTAGATGATGCTGGAAATCGACTTCGGTTTCAGTTGGAATTGGAATTTGTGCAGTGTTTAGCTAACCCAAATTACCTTAATTGTAAGTTGTTGAGCACCTCATTGAATTGAGTAGCTGTTAGTTTTTGACAGAAGAGTTGCAATTCATAAGTGTCTACTTTCATACATTCTCAATTGAATGGAATTACTTCTACACTTATATAATTGAGCAAACTGGGACTTGTTTTTTTAATTCAGTGTGTGTTGGTGGTGGGGATGTTATGTAAGTAAATTATTTATGTTGGGAGTCACAAATCAGTACAAAGATTGGTCTGCTCTACAGATTTTTTTTTTTTTTTTTATGCCTTTCAGTTCTTGCCCAAAGAGGTTACTTCAAAGACAAAGCTTTTGTTAATTATCTTAAGTACTTGCTTTACTGGAAAGAACCAGAATATGCCAAGTATCTAAAGTAAGTTTAATTTTTATAGTCCTAAATAAGTATATACCTTATTATACTCCAAAACACTGATATTTAATGGACTTCTTAGTTTCACATTGAAAAAAATACATTTTGAATCTCTTCATTTCTTTTATTTGCTACCACTGTATAAGACACGTTCATCTCTAACTTGGATTATTGCAATAATCTACTCATGGGTTATCTCTTCTTCCACCCTTATCAGCCAAACAAAGCAAAATAATTTTCTACACAGAGCCAAATTGATTTCTTAAAAATGTAAAATCACAACATGTCACTTTCTTAGACCTTTTCAATGGCTTCCCATTGCATGCAGAATAAAATAGTTTCTTTTCTTGAGCTAAAGTTATATATGATTTGGCTCTATCTTTATCTGATCTTATATAACTCAACATATCTCGCTAGTTTATTGACTCCAAGGAACCCCTATCAATAAATGCAAAGAGACAGCCATAGGCTGAAAATTAAAGAATGCAGGAAGGGGTACTTGTAAGGAAGGTTTTCTGGAGTAAGAAACCTTATCTGAGTCTTAATAGCTACTGTCTTTTTTTTTTTTTTTAGGGCCTCCTATGTGCCAAGTACTGTGCTCATTTAGAAAAATGTATATAATTATATAATAATTGAGGTTGTGCAACAGATGCTGTCATTTTAAGAGGTACTACATTGCAAGAAGCATAATCACAAACCTTTTTTTTAATGGTAAAAAGTCTTTGAATTCACACTTATGCTTTGTTTTAATTAGGTAGTAAAAAAGCATTAGTGAAACTTTTTGTCTTTTTCTTTTCTAAACAAATACAAGTTTGAGAGGAAAATGTTTCAAACTTGTACTTTATCCAATATGCTTTTCTGTGTCTAATAGGTAATACTTGAAGCCCACATCATTCTGTCTGTAGGATTCTTTGCACCCTAACTGGCCCTTTATAAACAATCTCTTATTCATTTAATAATCCATAGAAAAGACTTTTTTTATTAGATTGCAGCATGTATGTATGTAGACTTAGAGACAGTATTGGACATTGAGTCTTGAGTCTTAGACACTATCACGTTCACACACAACATTGCTGATATGGTAATCTATGGCTAGAGGTTTCCAGTGAGCACATGTTGCTCTATTCAGGGACACCCAGTTTGATTGTTAGCTAGATGTTACAAAGTTCTTCCTTATATTGTGATATAATACACCTTCCTATAGCTTTAATCCATGTCCCAGTTTTATCGCTGAATTAATCTAGAACCAGTCTTATGCCCTCTTGAGGCAAGGACCCTTCCGACATTTAAGTTAGATTGCGAATTAACCCCTGTGAGCATATCATTCAGTCTGCACAAGGTTTTTGTTATTTCAATAGTTGCCAACATTTAAAGATTGGAAACTTTCACATAATCAGATTTCTAGCTGCTTTTTGAAATCTGGAACATCTGGTGACCCCAAGTCTTCATTTTCACAAATCAATGACGGGCTAGAGCTGAGGAGCAGCTACTTCTTCTAGACACTTTCTACCATTTAACTTGCTTTACTAACAGCCAGTATCTGCACTATAATGTCTTTTTTACATTTATTTTTCTCAACTACCTTCAGTTATTTCTCATATGCTCTCCTTTGATATTTTGTAATTGTGCCTTATGTTGTTCAGCCAAGAACTAAACACAGGTCTACAGCCATGCCACCCTGAACACACCCGATCTCGTCTGAGAACTTGGAAGCTAAGCAGGGTTGGTCCTGGTTAGTACTTGCATGGGAGACCACCTAGGAATACCAGGTGTTATAGAAGATAAATAAATAAGCCTTTAAAAAACAAAGAACTAAACACAGGCCTTCAGATGTAAGGGTACAGTGGACTAAAGAGCACTTTTTTCTTCGTATAGACATTATATTTCTGTTAGTTCAACTTAAGTTTACATTACCTTTTAGGGGGGTTAGGGCTGGGAGGGGAAGGATTCACATTGTTGACTTGCTAGGAGCTTTATGCCAACTAAAATCCTTCAGTTCTTATTTTCATTAGTACTATTGAATTCTCCATTTATATCTTGTTTACTTCTTAAAAATCTAAATGCAGAACTTTCCTTTTGTACCTCATCTTGTTGATTAATACTATAATTGTAGCCTATCAGAATATTTATAATTCCTTTTTGTGTCCTTTAATGTATTCTGAACATTGTCTTCTACAAGTTTGATAAATGATCACTGTGTCTAAATTTGTTATTGACTAAATGCTTCTTGAGACCATTCTCTTGGTTTTCACATTAACTTATTTTACAAATGAACTAAACCTTTAGAGGGGTTAAATACCTTGTTGAAAGCCACCCAGCTGGTGAAAGGAAGAGCTTGTATTCAGACCTAGATCTTTTAAATTACCAATTCTCTCATGAAAAAGAAATAGCCAGGATAGGTGTGATTAGGGCATTGCAGGCTTAGCTACTAACAATTAGAAGCAACTATGTATCTTTGGAGTGTAGATAGAACTTGTAATATCTTGGAAGGACAGTATGGTATTGGGCTCTGTTACGCAATGTGGTCCTCAGACCATTAGTGTTGATATCACCGGGGAGCTCGTTAGAAATGCAGAACTCAGGCCCTACCCCAAACCTACTAAATCAGAATCTGCATTTTAAGAAGTCAGTTATGTGCATATTCAAACTTGAGAACCACTGTTGTAGTAATTGTTTTCCAAACTTTAGTCATTTGTATCCCACTTGTAGTTTTGACTCTTGTGTACTTCCTATATGATTTAATGTTTTTTAATTGATTCATTTAAATTTTGTGTTTTCTATTTGAAATAATTTCACTTACAAAACAGATTGGGAAAATAATGGGAATTCCTGTATATTCTTTACCCAGATGTTTTAAAGGTTGACATCTTATATAACCACAGTACAATGATCAAAATCAGAAAATATATTATCTAAACTTATGTAATCTACAGACCTCATTCAAATTGTGCCAGCTGTTTTACTAATGTCCTGTGTCTAATCTAAATTCATCAGTCTTTTTTCTATGATGGTGACACAGATGTGATGTTGTATCCTTGTAGGTATATCAGGATTCACAGGAAGTCAATTTACCCACCACTGGTGACGTTAATTTTGATCATGGTTGAGGTGGTGGCTGCCAGTTTTCTCCATATGAAGTTACTATTTTTTGTATTTCATCAGTATCCTATGAGGAAATACTTTGAGACTATGTAGTTTCATATCATACTTTTACCCACTAATTTTAGCATCTATCAAAGATACTTGCTTCAAAGAATTTTTACTATGGTGATTTTCTAATTCTATCATTCTTTCTACATTTATTAGTTGGAATTCAGTTGTAGGGAATATTCACTTGTTCCCGATTTTCCTCTTCATTTAAAAAGTTTTTTCAATAGACTCTTGGATCCTTTTTGTTTTTATAATTATGTATTTTCTTGCTCTAGTGATTCCAGAAATGGCCATTGGGAGCTCCTTCAAATTGACTCTTGAGTATTTTAGACCCAGCAGTCCCCAACCTTTTTGGCACCAGGGACCCGTGCTCCTATGAGAATGTAATGCCTGATGATCTGAGGTGGAGCTGAGGTGGCGATGCTAGTGCTGGGGAGCGGCTGCAAATACAGATGAAGCTTTGCTTCCTAGCCCGCTGCTCACTTCCTATTGTGTGGCCTGGTTCCTACCTAACAGTCTATGGACCTGTATCCGTCCGTGGCCCGGGTGTTGGGGACCCCTGCTTTAGACCAAATCCCGATAATTTTTTGAGCACTTTTGTTTGCCACTACATAATATTCCAGGCTCATCTTGTGCTTTCTCTGCCTTAGCCCTGAAATCAGCCATTTTTCAAAAGGACCCTGGAAAATGCTATTTAAAACCCACGATATGGGCACTAAGTGTTCATTGGTACCACAGCGTCATTGTTTCTAGGCCTTCGGCACACAAAGCTCTTTCTATATGTATTAAAAGTAGTAAGTTCATATTGATGTTTTCAGTTTCAGCCCAACAACAGAGTTTATTCTTGCTTTCCTCCTTTATCTTTTTCTCATAGCCAGAAATTTGGCTTTCTTTATCCACAGTATATTTACTTACATATTTGCTGCCTTAGCATACACATAAATTTCAGAATTGGTACATCCCCAGGGAAAATTAAAGTGCAATATTTGTGCATAGTTCCTTCTGAAATTGACTCACTTTTAAAAGTTTTTATCATTATTGATGGAAAACCAAGTTATCAATTAAACACATAATTACTAAAATTAAAAATTCATGTTCCTCACCTTGGAAACCACCAGAATTGCATTATTTGTCCCTGAATGTTGATTCTGCTGACCAGTTATTGTGTGGTCTTGGGCAAGTTACTTAATCTTTCTGAACTTAAGGTTTTCACTTTTGAAATTTTGCTTAATGCTGACTTTTGATCACTAGTTTGTTGCCTAAGCAGGAAAAAAAAAAAAGTGTACTAAGTTAATGTTATAGAAGTGGTAGGCTATAAGATCATTTTTAAGTAAATGAATTAGAATTTCGCATTGACTTAAATTATGTCAATTATTAACTTATAAACTTAAACCCAGGTACCCTCAGTGTTTACACATGTTAGAACTACTCCAATATGAACACTTCCGCAAGGAGCTGGTGAATGCTCAATGTGCGAAATTTATTGATGAGCAGCAAATTCTGCACTGGCAGCACTATTCCCGGAAGCGGATGCGTCTTCAGCAAGCCCTGGCAGAGCAGCAGCAGCAAAATAACACATCAGGAAAATGAAAAGCTGGATCCAGACCAGGCTCTTAAGACATGTATATATTGCTTTTGTACAGTGAAAACAAAATACTTACTACCTACCTTTATTGTGGCAGCACCTAGAACCTTTAGTGTGCTTTTTATCCAACTAACTTTTTATTGTTAATAGATTATTTGTTTAACCAAAACCATTGAGTTTCCTGTGGATTTGTAAGTTTTTATTAGTATTTTAACAGTCCACTGAATAAGAACAGAAACATGTGCTTTAGATCTATTTAAGGAGGCAGTGGGGAGGGAGCAAGGGGAGGGTCACCAAATATCCCAAATTCAGCCTAGCAATATTCTTAATGTACACTGGGGCCTGAGGCAGTCCATCTGGAACCTACTGTCCCTCAGATCAGCTCTTCTACCTCCCTTATCTATAAAATAAGAGGAATGGGGTCAATGACCTCTTTAAATCAGAGAGCAGGAACTGCATAAAGTTTCTTAAATTCTTCAGGAGTATGACATACCTGTATCACTACTTGCTTTGCAAGAGCTTTATGGAAGAATCATTGGTATGTTGCTGACCTAGTGATGGTAGAAAGATTGGTGGTTAACTACTAATTGGACTCTTGACCTTAGACTAAAAGAGGAGCCTCAAATACTTGTGCTCTTTTGGGAAAGCTAACATTTGGCAGGTACCACAAACCAGGCACTGTGTTAAGTGCTTAGTTGCATTCCCATTTTATTCTTAGAATAGTTGTTCTTAAAGGAAGAAACTGAGGTTTAACTTGCTTACAGTTACACAGCTAGTAACTGGTAATCTGTGACTCACGGGCTGGACTCCTTCCCACCACTAGGTTATATAATCTCTGATCTCTGCCACTGCCTCATCCGAAGAAGTGAAGCACATTCAAACAGTTGTAAAGCAAAACTGCATGAAGCAGAGGCTAGATTAGATGTGCTGTGCTTTCCTTCAGTGGTTAAGTTCTAAATTCTAAAGCCAAAGAAGGTGTTTTAGGAATAACAGTGCTTTGTTTCATGGAATTTAAAATAAAAGATCCTTACTCCTTTAAGGAGATTTGGAAGCTGTCTACTCACTATTAGGGGATTTCAGATATTTCTGTTACCTCCAATAATACATTCCTTTGTGCTATTACTGCCACTCTTGAAGACTTATTTTACCTATATTTTAAGATATCCACATATTACAAACTGAGGGTTCATGAGCATTTTAACAGAATTCTATTTAAACATATACCAATTTTTTAAATGTCATATTTATTGCTAACATGAATTCAAAGCAAGTATGCAATTTCTTTTATACTAGAGCAAATCAGGAAGTCAGTGCACAATTGCCATCATCAGATCTTAATCTTCAGAGAACAACATCTCCACGAGGTTGGCCTGAAGACACTCAGATTCTACCAGTTTTTGAGGCTGTAAGAGAAAAACATTGTAACCCATAACTACAAAAATGTTATTAGGAGAGGACAGTTCTGTTGGAATGACACAAATCTTAGAGAAATTATACCATTCAGAAACTATCAACCAGTTTTAACAAGTTTTGTGAAGTAGTTAAGATATTTGCTTTAAGATGACTCACTTGGCTCTAAACTTAGACTAAGGAGGCAGCAAGCCTAATACTATCCTCCTTCCCCACAACTCTTTAATTTAGAATCACAGGGCCATGACTAAATTAGAGGAGGCAGGTACCCCTTCTTTTCAACCAGAATTATGAATTAAATGGGAAACACTGATGCCAGTGTTTTAAGAAATTATGTGTAAACCAACTTTCTTTAGCAGTACTTATAGAATTTTAAACTAAGAATAGCTTTTAAAACATGAAAAAGATAATATTTATAGATATTTGCATTATTAATAGTTTACTGGGATTGGCCATAGGGGATGGACAGATATACTCTGAACAGCAATGTGATGTTTGGGATGAAATGTCAAGACCTTTTAAATTTGAACCTACAACAAGTTAAAAGTTTTGTTGGTGAATTGTAGCCCTAACACATTAAAGAAAGGTACTCACTGTTCCATATTTAAGTAGTGTAGGCACTGCAGTTACTTTCAAGTTTTTTCTGAAGTCATTATTTGGATCTTTCCAACTATTTTCGAAAAGAAAAAGTGATCATGAAAAGTATTTACTTGGTTTCTTACATTTTAATATTTGGTATATTCCTACATTTAGTCTTTTAGTAATCATTGTTTTTGTTGTAAACATTTAAGAAACCTTGAGGACTGTGACTTATCTATTCCCCTGTGTAAAAGTTTTCATTTAAAGTGTGACTAAGATATAAAATAAATGTTAAAGACAAGTTCTGAACTAACACCAGGCCAAATTTACCTTATTATCCATCCCTACCTAATACAAGTGGCTGAACATTCAAAATTTTAATTTGTATTTAACGTCTTCTTGACTCATCTAATTGTACTTTAGAATGGAGAACCTGTGTCCCGAGGCCCTTTCCACTTTTGTTTTCAAGAGTCTAGTAGTGCATGTCAGAAATAAGGGTATACTCTGTCACTTACTAAGGTTTTTCTCCTACTTGGCAGTAGATGAACACGCATCCTTCACAAACATGCTTCAACCCCTCTCGGACGACTGGTTCAGCTTTAAAAAAAAAGTTGATATAAAATAATGACACATTAACTCTATAACCAGACACTGATACACAGTGTCCCTCTCCCCTCCCCTCAGTGTTGCTAAGAACTCATACTTTAACCTGCAGTTAACTGAAGAGGTTAACAGAAATCATGTGTTCTCTGATTTGAGGGCCACTTTAAGGGTAAGGACTACATCTCAGCCCTGATTTGTCTCCCCGCCACAGCGCCTAGAACAACGAAAGGCATAAATATTTGCTGACATCTAAAGGAGACCAACTCACCTCTCCTGTAAGACACGAATCACACTGGGGAAGTGAAAAGTTTTAAAGGATTAGATTCCAAGATTATAAGAGTCGAATGATAGAGCACTCTTGGTGGGGCGGGGAAAGACAAGAAGAGAGAAAAATAAGGTTGGAAAAGGAAGTAAGGTAACAGCTCAGATCGCCCTGCGGGTATCCGGGAGCAAGACTCCCTCTGCCTCTTTTCAACCCAGCTCTCCGACCATAGCCTCGGCCTTCCTGCCACTTCCTCTGGACAGCAGCCCTCGAATCCCGGTCTCACCCTGCACGCAGTCGGGGCACCAGCTTTTCCCTTCGGCGTCCTTAGAACCGGTAAAGTAGGCGAAAATGGTCTTGCCTTTGTGCTGCTCCACAGCCCGGCTGAAGTCTTCGAAGCCAGACACATTCACCTCTTTGTAGTGGGCCATCGGGAAAGCGTTGCAGACCGCGGGAGAAGTTTTTGGGTTGTGCCACGTGGGGCGGGGCAAAGCTGTTTCCGGGCGGGCTAGGAGCAGGGCGGTGCCTAAGCGAGCCCACAAGGCTTAGAGGTGTTACGGGAGCCTCTGAGGGCCATCACTCGTCGTAACGTCTTTCTCTTCTCGCTTCTACGATCTTTCTGTGCTGGCTCCATTCTGAAACCAAGGCTTCTGCTCTAATCTAGTCTTGGCCCCAGCTCCGTGTACAGTGACAACCGTGCAGCTCCTGGACCCTTACGTGGCTCAGGAGTCCTAACGGCTCCCAAACCGCCCTGCGCCTGTTGCTATGGCGACTGGGCCAGCGGCCGGAAGCGAGGCCTAATTGGCAGCCCCGCTCGCCCCGCCCGCTTCCCTGTAGCCGCGCCTCGCCTTAGGCCAGGTGGGCTCGGGCCGGAGCTGGGGGGATTCTGGGAAGCCGCGTTAGGAGACATGGACCTGGGGGAGAGGAGATCTTGATCCGGGGCAGATTCTGCCTCTTATCGCCCCCAATTATCTATTGTTCTGCCTTGGTTTGGGGCGGGAGGGGATATTGGGGTACGGGGTAGGAGATTAGGAGGGAGTAAGGCTTTGAGGTTGGAGCTGAGTGTGTGAGTGCGTGTGTGGAGCAGGCTTGGGAGTGTGGTGCTAACACAGAGTGTCCTAGGGGCTGCGTCGGGGAATACGAGAATTGTCCTCGAGCTATGAGCAGGGCGGCTGGCCATGAGGCCTTGCCCAGGCTGCGCATGGGCGGGCGAGCAGCAGAGAGGCCGGGTCGCTGTGTAGGGCCCAGCAGGTCCCGGCGCGGAGTTCGGCGGCCATGGGGGAAGAGATGGAGTGCAGGGACATCCCGAGGCCGTGGAGCAAGGCGCCGGGCGAGGTCCTCGGTGTGGGAGACGCGCTGTGTGAGTGCAGAAAAGCTGCAGGACTGTCCGCAGCCATGGGGTAGAAGACAAGCAGCGGAGACATCCAAGGCCGCTGAGGCGAACGAGGTTTCAGGGACACCTGGTACTGCAGGCTCGATTGAGGCTGCAAGAGACCCGGGGGCTGTGTGGGTGAACGGGGCTGTGGGGGAACCCCAGGTGGTGGGGCCTGCCGGGTCTGTGTGGGTGACTGGCACTGGGGAGGTGGAGGAGACAGTTTACAGGAGTCCCAGAGGCGGTGAGAGAAAAGGTCGTCCGGGATCTATGGGGCACGAGAGCATTCTGGAGCTGTGGTTGAAGGTGCAGGCTATGAGGGCAGCTTCAGGATGCGGGGAAGGAAGCAGAGTCGAGCTCCATCCTGTTCCTGCAGGAGAAGGGCCAGTCGAAAGGGGCGTACCTGGTCGAGCTTCATGGGTAGAGACCAGCCGTGGTGGTCTCACAGGACCGTGGGTGAAAGGACAGGCTCGGCCAGTCCCCCAGGTCTCAGGAATTTCTACAGCTGGTAGCCTAGGGGCAGGTTGTGAGAGGCCCTCAAGCTCATGTGGGCAGAGACAGGCTGCGAGGTTACCTTATGTGGGTGTGCCTGGGCCTATGGAGACAAGTTCTGGGATTGCCCCACACGTGCTGGGGAGAGGACAAGCTGTGGGGGTGCCTGAGGCTGTGGAGGAGATAGGCTATGGCGTTGCCCCAGGCCCTTGGGAGAAAGGACCGACTATGGGGATTCCTGGGGCCATGAGGTGGCCTGAAGCTGTGGAGGTACCCAGAGCTGTGGAGGGAGAGATAGGGTGTGGGGGTGTTCCAGGTCTGTGGGAGAGAGGGCAGTCAGTGCAGGTGCCTGGGGCTCTTGCACAAGAGGCAGTCTGTGGGGATACCCCAGGCTTATGGGGGAGGGGACAGGCTGCAGGGATACCTGATACTGTAAGGGTACCCAGAGCTGTGGAGGAGGAAACTACCTCTGTGGGTGCTTCAGGCGTTTGTCGGAGGAGACAGGCTTTGGAGGAAATAGGCCCTAGAGGTATCCCTGGCCTGTGGGGGACTGGACATCTTGTAGGGGTGCCTTGTTCTGTTGAAGAGGAAACTAGATGTGGTGGTGACCCAGGATTCAGGGAAAGGGGACAGGCTGTGTGGGTAGAGACAGGCTCTGGATGTGACCGAGGGTCATGGGAAGCTGCACAGACTGCAGAGGTATCTGGTCCTAATGAGCAGGAGGCAGGTCCTGGGGTTGCTTCAGGCCTGTGGGATGTAGAACAGGCTATGGGAGTACCTAGGGCTTTGGGGAAGGAGACAGGCTGTGGGAGTGTCCCTAGTCTGTGGGGAACAGAACATCCTGTTGGGGTGTCCCAGGCTGGGGTGGTACTGGGAGCTGTGGGTGAACAGACAAGGTATGTTGGTATCCCAGGCCTTTGGGACAGGCAGCAGGCTCTGGGGGTGCCTTTGGCTGATGCAGTGCCACGGGTCGTTGGGGAGGAGACATGTTGTGGGAATGTCCTCAGGCTGTGGGAAAGGAGGCAGGCTGTGGGAGAACAAGAGGCTCTGGTGCCTACAGTTTTAGGGATACATGGATCTGTGGATCAAGAGACTGGCTATGGGGATGTTTCATGTCTGTGCAGGAGGAGACAGGCTATGGGCTTGCCTGAGACGGTTGGGATGTCTGAGGCATCTGGCATGCCCAAGCACAGGTGTGCCCTAGAAGGGGTACCCACGACTGTGGGTGTGCCCAGGTCTGGGAGGGTGCCTGCCGCTGTGTGGTTGTCTGGCCCTGTGTGTCCAGAAAGCAGCTCTAGCGATGTCTTGAACCTGTGGGAAAAAAAACACACAGGTGCAGGGATACCCGTGGCTCCAGAGGAGTTGTCATCTATGAGAGAGGATGCTGGTTCTGAGGCTTTCCCAGGATCATGGGGAAAGAGACAGGCTATTGGTGTTTCTGTGACTGACAAGGTTTCTGTGGCTCCTGAGGTACCTGGGTTTGGGGAGGAGACCGGCCCTGGGGGTGTCCCAAGATCTTGGGGAAGGAGACAGAGTGCCAGAGTTCCTGTGGCTGCTGAGATGCCCGTAGCTCCTAGGGTGCCTGGTCCTCTGGGGGTGGAGACTGCCTCTGGGAGTTTCTCACACTTGTCAGGAAAGAGACAGACTTCAGGAGTACCTGTGACTGCAGGGGTGTCCACAGTTTGTGGAGTGCCTGTGGCTCCTAGGGTACCTAGGCTTGTGCAGAAGGAGACTGGTTCTAGAGGTGTCTCAGGCTTGTGGGGAGAGAGAGAGACAGTGCAAGGATCTGCAGATTCCAAGGGCCCCACAGGGAGGGTGATGCCCACCACTGCCAGGATGCCTGGGCCCATGGATGGAAAAATGCGCCCTGGAGGTATCTCAGGCTTGTCAAGAGAGAAGGAGACTGCAGGGGTATCCGTGGGTGTGGGGTTGTGCACAGCTACGGGGGTGCCTGGGCCTGTGGGGGAGGAGACACTCTCTGGGGGTCTCTTGGGCTCATTGGGAAGAAGACAGACTGCTGAGATGCCTGTGGCTGCTAAAGTTTCCATGGCTGTGGGAGTGCCCACAGCTGATGGGGTCCCTGGGCCAATGGTGGGTGATACTAGCTCTGGGGATGTCTCAGGTGTATGGGGAAGGAGACCAATGATTGAGGTGCCTGCTGCTGCCAGGGCTCCAGGACCTGTGGACAGGGAGACTGGCTCTGAAGGTGTCTCAGGCCTGTGGAGAAGGAGACCCAATGGAATAGTCCCTGAGGCTGTGAGGGTACCTCTGTCTTTGGGGGTGCTTGCAGCTGTAGGAGTTCCCATGGCAGGGCGTATGCCTGCTGAGGTGTGGGTGACTGGGTCTACAGGAGAAGAAATGAATGCTGCTGTTTCAAGCCTCACAGTGGTGAGGAGACGATCCACAGAGGGACCTGGGGCTTCAGGGGAGGAGACAGGAAGTAGAAGTGTCCTGGGGCTGGCCGGAAGGAGCCAGGCCACAGGGATGTCTTATACCTCTGGGTGTAGGACCAGGTTATGGAGCTGCCCAAGTTCTGTGGGGGAAGAAACAGACTATGAGAATGTGCCAGGAATGTCAGGGACAGGAATGACTGGGAGGGTGAATGAAGCTGTGGAAACGTCACCAGTTTCAAGGGAGGAAACAGGCATTGGTCATTTCAGAGATCACTCACAGCAGAGTGTGAGGAGACAGACTGGAAGAGTGTCTGGAATCAGAGTGAGGGGTAACGATTTGGGAGAAAATTGTGTCGGGGAGGATGGGTTGGGGGGGGCGTTCTAGTAGTAT